AATCTACACAAATAAACATTTACAATGTTCAAAGATTAAAATCTACAAAAAAAAATTAATAAACTAAAAGAAAATTCAAAGAGTTGAAACGTGAAGGCTTGAACGGATGTGGGAAATTCGTTCAGCCTTTAACCGATCTCGACATCCGTTGAAAGCTGAACGGATTTTCCATATCTGTTCAAGCATTCGCGTTTCTCTTCTTCTTCCTCTTACACAACACACCACATACTTCCATTTACAGAGAACATATATAAAAAGAAAAAAAGAAGGAAGGTTTAACCACAAAAATATGCAAGGGAAGAATAAACAAAGAGAAAGAGGAAGGGGTGAGGCTCTATGTGTGCGAAGAAGAGAGGAAGAGAAAAAGTGAGGGGGTTGATGACTCTATGTGAAGAAGAGAGGGAGAGAGAAAGTGATGGGGTGAGATTTGTATGTAATTAGAGAAAGAGAAAAGGAAGAAGGTGAAAGTTGCAGAATTAGGGTTTTAAAAAGGTTTAATCCTTTTTGACGTCCCTATTTGTGTAGGAATGTCTCAGATAGGTCCTCGTTTTCTAAAGTGTATCAAAATGGTCCTTAATTCTGAAAATTTATATCAATTGAGTTCTTTCCGTTAAGTTGGCTGGACGGCGTTAAAAAAATTGATGAGTGAGATGTTGAGATGACGAACGAACGCTCGTCCACCAGCGAACGAACGCTCGTCGACCTCTTACCGCTGGACGACCATTCGTTCCACACTGGACGACCGTTCGTTCGGTGGTCGCCTAGTGTTCGTTCGCTGGTGGATGAGCGTTCGTTCGTCATCTCAGCATCTCATTCATCAATTTTTTTAACGTCGTCCACCCAACTTAACGGGAAGGACTCAATTGATCTCAATTTTCAAAATTAAGGACCATTTTGATACACTTTAGAAAACGAGGACCTATCTGAGACATTCCTACACAAATAGGGACGTCAAAAAGGATTAAACCTTTTAAAAAATGTAAATAAAGTTAAATGGTAAAAGTTAAAAATTTTTAACAAATATTTTTGGAATAAGAAAAAATTTGGAAATGTGTAGGAAGCAGCTGGGATGGTGGAGGGAAAAACTCTCCAAAATATATCAGAGTTCAGGTGTGAAAACTTATTAAATTTTATTCTATTGAAAGCAAGAGAGTAAGAATTCATTTTTATCAATAGTTGAGAATTTTAAACAAAATTCTACAACGACCTTTACTTGTGAACTTTTCTCACCATTATTAGTTTCTTTTCTATTGATAAAATCAAATAAATAAAAACATCAAACTAATAAGTTATTCATGCCAAAGTTCTGGAAGCTGGTATTAGCCAATACATGATATTATTTTGATAACGGAAATTTAAATAATGAGTCAGTTAAATCCTGGGTTTCTTAAATAAGTTTAAGAAATTATTTAAATCAGAAACACTTAATTCAAATTAAACAAAATGACCAACTATTTAATCCAAGATTTTGGGGTTTCTTTGTACTTTTCCGGAGTTCTTTAAATTATAATGCCGGCTTGTTTTTAAAAAGTGTTCAAAGGGAATTTGAAAATATAATTGAGTTCTGTTAATTCTTTTCAAAATATTTTTTAATATGAAGTTAAATTTTAAATATATTAGACGATAGATCGTTATTTAAAGAAATAGGTAAAAGGGAGGCATGCTATGTCTTTCTATATGTGTACAAAAATATAAATAAAAGAAAAAGGGTGATGGAAGTTAAATATAAACTGAAATTGTTCCAGGAAAGAAAAAAAAGATAGAAGTAAATAAATCTAGCAATTATTCAATATTAGGGGATTCTCATTACAATAATAACTATATAAAATCTTAACTTACTTTTTTATGAATTTTTTATGGCATTTTTAAGACTTTATTATTTTTATTTTGATAAAAAGTCCTATAAAATTCAGACTGTAATTAATATTTTATTTAATTGTTCATATTTTAAAGACAAAAGGTTTTTTTTTATGATATAAAATCAAATTTGATTTAGAATCTTAAATTTTATGTTATATCAACTTATTCTAATAAAAATTACTATAAAGTTGTAAGTTTAGATTTGAAAGAGAAAAGCTCCCACAAAAACAAAACACTTAAACAAAGAACTACTAATTCTTCAAGAACAATTATTATATATAAAGGCTTAATATTCTATTTTATCCCCAGTTTCGCTCGACAATGTCAAATTAGTCCATCCTTTAAAACGTGCATCAATTACGTCCTTACTTAATAAAATTTATATCAATGAAATCAATTCAATTAAATCCGTACAAAAGACGTTAATAAAAAAAAAAAAAAAAAAATTAACGCAGTTTGTACGGATTTAACGGAAGGGATTTCATTGATATAAATTTTATTAAGTAAGGAAGTAATTGACGCACATTTTAAAGGATGGACTAATTTGACATTGTCGAACGAAACTGGGGACAAAATAGGATATTAAGCCTATATATAAATAGGCATATCCACACTACAATTAATATAGAAACGATAAAACTACTCACTCCTATTATCCAAGTAATGCGCATCACAGTCAAAACCATTTTTATTTATTATAAAACTCAAAAAATATTATGTTCTTGTTTTATTTATTTAGTACTACTGCATATAATATAAAATCCCAGAAAATGATATATATAAATGTAAAATCCCAGAAAATGGTATATATAATGTAAAATCCCATAAAATAGTGTTTTTAGAAGTAATGGTAGTCTAAAAATAGTGAAACTTGATTATTTTAATATTAAACGGTTATATTATAAATAGTTTTGTTATAAACTAGTTTCATTGTTTTAAAACGTACCATCTCTCTAGAAACCACTTTTCTAAAGTTATCTACCTTTTCTCTAAGAGTTCTAACTCCTGAGTAATCTCTTTAACGATCAAGAGGTACCTAATCAACCACGGCAACAAGGTCTATAAATCTAACTGATCAGTTTCTCTAATAGAGCAAGTAAGTTTCGACTTCTTTTTCCCCTTCAGTTTCCAAATCTGTTTCAAAGGAATTTAATACTATTGCATGTGAAATCATGCATCTCTTATACGTTCTTGATTCATCTAGAGTTCTAAGGACTCTATCCGTTTTCAATTTGGTGTTTTGTAGGTCCGTCTATGTATTCCTTTCGGTTCAAGTAATCGGTAGAGCGTTTTGAGAAGTTTGGTAGTTGGTTTAGAGGTAAAGGAAGCTATATAATTACTTTTAATTGAAGTATGTGGTGTAAATTTGATAGTATATGAATATTAAACTGTTTGAATGAAAATGTTGTTTAATGTTAGTGATAATTGAGTTAATTGGGTAATATTGATGATTTGTGTGATGATGTATGTTGTACAACTGTTTGAATCTGTGTGTATGCATGTTTGAGATGTGAAAATTGTGTTGAGAAAGTGTTTGATGCGGATTGTATTGTTGGAAGAAAAAGGGTAATCTTGGTTGTAGGTTAATTGGTTCAAATTTGAGATTTTGATAGGGAAATGGTGAGAAATGGTTGGTGTATTGTTTTGCTGCCGTTGGTCTTGCTTGGTTAGGAGTTGTTTTGGATCATAATTAAGTGTCAAAGTGGGAGAAAATCTGTTATAAGAGGGTATGAGGTTGTATATACATAGTTCACATTAGTCTAGGACTTGTTTTTAGGAAGTGGAGTAGTGAAAACTTGAATTGAGGGTTTTGTGAGTAATTGGTCATTTTGGTTGATGTTATTAAGTCTTTTGGGACTTGTTAGAGTCCCTAACTTATTTAAAAACAAGCTAAAACTACTAGAATCCAAGTTGGGTCTATCAAGTGAGATTTTGGTAAGTTATGGAGTAGAACCTTGTAGTAGTCACTTAAAAATGAGTTGATGATGGGTTGTATGAAGTTGTCTAAGTCTAATTGATGGTATAATACAATCTAGGAGTGTTAGAAGTTGGGAAAGGTGCATAAAATTGGTCAGAAGTGGTTGAGATGCGCAAATTCTGCAGTTTTAATGCTACAGAATTATGAAATCTTGCTGAGCGAACAGACTTGGTGCGCTGAGCGAATGGGCTTTAGTTGAGCGAACAGATTTGGTGCCCTGAGCGAGAGGGAGTGAGCAAAACCCACTGTTTATGTTTTCGCACAGCGAGTTTGGTGCGTTGAGCGACTGGTCCAGAACCTGTTTTGAGTATTTCTTTCTTTGTTTTATGATAACTTTAAGCTATGTTTTTACTTTGAGGATGGTGTAGAAATATCTATAGTACTTTATGATGGTTTATTCTTGAAGTTATGTATGTATTTGATGTATGATTGTGTATGAGTTTGTATGAGTATCAAAGTAAAAGTATATGGTTTCATTCATGGTTTCAAATGGTGTGGAGGAGAATTCCAAGGAGGAATTTCTCAATGGTGGTTTCAATGGTTGTAAATATGAATATGGGAAGCTCAGTCTTGGAGTTCATTTTGACATTCTAATGGTCACTCATTTTCAAGTAGAGAAGGGTGAGACATCTCATGAGAATAGTAAGAGGTCCTAGTCTAGGAGTTTTTCCTTGGGGTGAGTGATAACAGACTAACCTTGTATGGTAGCTTGGGGTGGGTCAACTATTTCACCACAACAAGTGCACGAACTGTCATAGTTACATACTAATCTGGATAGTCAAGTTTAAGGACTTTACAAGTTAAGATGTTTGGAATGATGTATGTGATATAAATGATTTATGTATGTTATATTATAAATGTGATATGATTTCTTTGGTATCTAGTTTACCCTTGCTTCTGTGTTGTATGTTGTATATTGTTTTCTCTTTTGCAATGATCACCTTAACCGGTGTGAGCTTAGGATGACATCTTTCAAGAGATTCAATGTTTGATTGAGAGAGAAAAGCAACAGGATAGTTAGTCTTTGGTCCGTCAAGGATAGGATCTCTCGTCCTAATAACCTCAAGTTACTTGTAAGTTCTCATTTATGTACGTCTTACTACTCAAATGAGATGTTACATATAACACAGTAAAATTAAATTTAAAACAACTAAGAGCAAAATTGAAAATTCATAAAAAAAATGGTAAAATATACTTATGAGAAAAATTAAATAGACAGATCTAAATTCATTGCAAGTCGAGTCCAGATTATCTGCGGAGTTTATGGTAATGTTGCTCAATTGAGCCTTCAAAATACACTGACGTTAGTATATTAAAATGGTTTTTAATATATTTTAAACCATCAAAATCAGTGTCCATTAGTGTATTTTACGGACTCAATAGGAGAACATTACAAAAAAATCAGTAGAGAATCCAAATTCTTGAAAGTCCCAACTTCTGTACTGGCTTTTTTATATTCCTCAGCTATGTCTCCAAATTACACCGATTTTGATACATTAAACATACCTGTAATATGTTTTAAATATCAAAATCAATATAACTTGGAGGCACACTTGAGAGACACTACTGATCCAAAATTTACTGTTGAACTGTGAATGGGTGAAATGGTGATGCACAGAATTCAAATCACATCCTACTTTAGGAACTATCATAAGAAGAGAAGACTATAATTCAAGAGTGTAGATGAATGTACATGTCCTGCTATGTTAATACTAGATAGAGTTTATTTTAATGATCTCTCTAAAAGCCAAACTATTGCAGTCATGCAGATGTGTGGTGCTACCATGCCATCAAACCAAACAATTAATAAGGCCTTCAATTTTTGTGCTTCACCTTCATCTTTTACTTGGGTTGACCTCATCTTGAGCTAAAAGTTGAAAGAACCTGAACTGGACAGAACAAATACTGCGTTTTCCAATGGATGATGGGATCATTAATAACCCTTGTTTCCACGAATTCTGGCTCTCATGTCAACCTGATAAGAGTGGCAAAATAATAGCTGTTTACTTTTTAGTACAATACTGAAGATTACACATGAACATAAAATTATTCATCATCATCATCATGATGGCTAAATGGATCTGAGCCAATTGTTATGACTTGTTGAAAACCAATTTTATCATAAGTATGAAGGCCTTAATAAATACATAGAGGATTATTACAAACAAAACCTTGTTTAATTCTTTTCTCAAATAGAATAACACCTGGTCGGTTATTACTTACTATTAGTGTAAAAAATCAACACCAAATATGTACATTCACCGAAGTAATAATGTTTTAAAATCATCAGGCATATAAAGAATATGCTGATATTTCAAGATTGTCCATGAAGTCATGCAAAAGATCATAAACAGAGATAAGATAGACCATATATAGACTGGTATTGCCAGCTTAAACATGGAATGACACGAACACCCTTTAATATAAAAAAAAAAGGAACAATAAAAGTTACAAAGAACCTAAAATTATACTGAACCGCTCTAGATCATATCATGAAACCATGTCAACACTAACACAGCCAAGTTAAAAGCTCCATGCTCGCAACTACTCAAAACTTTCTTACTAGAGGGAACATCATTAATCATGAATACAGCAACTAGTCATAAAGAGGATTTCAGCAAATTCTCTTGCTACCAGAGGGAAAAACTATCATCCTTCAGTTATAAAAGTAAATACAGTTTCTTGGCCCCAAGTTTAATGTTATTTGATTTTAATTCATTATGTCCGGTAAACCCCAAAAACATCTTAATACTCTGAATATTTTTTTTTAAGAAAAATCCAGGGGTGTACATTAACCTGGCTTTCCCCACTTTTCAATTCCATACTTGCAACCAGATATCAGTTACTTACATCTCTTAATGCAATAGCAGATCATTTGGTTTAGCTCTATGTGCATGCTGTAAATTACATCATACGCATGTGCCCACAAAAAATATCTTCACAATAGCAACACCTACAGTTTAAATATCGGTCCAAAACATAACGGTTTTTGGGGTTCCCGTGGTGTGACAACATTTGTTTGCAATTTTCAAAGATACCAAGGATAGTAATGAGTCCTAAACCATGACTGTAACTTAACACCTTGACAACACCAATCATGAAATATTCAACAATAATTTCAAATTTTGTGAACTACATGTCATAGCTTCAAGTCATAGCTTCAAGTCATAGCTTCAAGTTTAAATAAATCAGTATGAGACAGAAGGAACAAACTTGCCTGGCCTCTCTTGCAATTGAAATAGGTTTCCCTGAGTCCCACACACTCATTGGGTATACATGGACTCTTCTCTCCAACACATTCCCGATATGATCTCTTCTCAACCTATTCTCAAATACGCATACACAAACATTCATCGTCACAACATTCAAGATTAATCATTATTTCACAAATCACACAACCTTTTTTAAATCCAACAAACTCATTCAAATCATCAAACCGAACCTTAATACAATCAGATTCACTTAGACACTTGACTAGCTCCGCGGCCAACCCTTTGCAAGACTTGGACATCGTCCCTCACTCACTTCTCTTAGCAGAAAACAAGTACAACAAAGTTTGAATTTTGAGGATTTAAAGCGACAAAAGTTATACCTTGCACCACTTCTTTTCTCGCAGAAAAAAACGTACTTTCCTCCACCTTCATTTCTAACAATAGATTTCCGAAAAAACCCAGATGATACGATTTTTTATTTATTTTGGGCTTAGGGTTTCGTGCAATGCAAAAAGGCCCGCATTGCAGTGAGGACCAGATTGGGAGAAGAATATGCAGATCCAATTTCAGAATTTTGTTTTAATTAAACATTTTTAATGCTAATGATAAAAATTAATTTGTAGAGATATAAATAATTGTCTAATACTTGTCTTTTCAATTGAATAATCAAAAGAATAGAAGTTTAATTTCTTAACCAGGTAATTTTTGTCAGTGGCTAATATTTGTCTTTTTTGTTGGATACATACACAATAAAAAATCACATGATTTATTATTGGAAAATGATACTTGAACAACCTTTTTTGACAACATTTAGACACGGGACAGATGTCTAAATGGGAGTGGTCCACGTGGAAAATTAAAATGAAAATGAAATATAACGTGGGAAGGGAGTGGTCAGGGGTTTTTGTTTGGCGTTTGAAATTTGAATTTCATTTTTGAACAATTGTAGAGAGAAGCGAAGGTTGAGAGAGAGAGTCTAACCTAGAGAGAGTCCGAGAGAGTTGGAGAAAGGGAGTTCGAGAGAGAGAGGTCCGACGGATTGCTTGCCGGAGTGCCGCCGGACAACGTTGAAGGCCGTCGAAGGTCCTCAACCCCTCCAGCCGGTTCCGATTCACGGTCGCCGCAGCTCCGACGTTGGCGAACGAACCGAAGACCGCGTCGTCTTCCCTCCGGCCCAGCGAACTAGGTGCGTGTTCTGAGTCTCGCTTCGTCCTGCTTCCCTCCCTGTGCC